AAACCAAACATTGCCCCACTAACTCAACAACTACACACTTTAATCCTGACTATCAAAACAACTCTCGTAAATCTGAGACATTTTTGTATTACCCAGATCATCGCAAACAATCCATTATGTGCATCCAAAAAATCTCTCGCCTCAAGTTTAAATCAGTGGGCACACAACACCTGCCCTGAAAAACATAACACACCCTCATAATTCAATGAGAAATCACTACCAGAACCATCTCGCACAAGCTGTAGCTTCGCTTCAAACTTCTATCACTAGATTACAAATCACGAATATGTTGCGGCCATGTTGACTTTAATTTACAATTCTAAACTAAAGTAACATCCTCAGACACTCAATCTCACAAACAAAGATCGTAATTCGCCTATCGACTTACGACTCAAAGCATCAACAACAATATTTACTTTCCCCGGATTGTACTCAATTGAAAAATAATAATCTTTTAACAACTCAACCCAACGCCTCTGCCTCAAATTAAACTCCTTCTAGGTAAGGAGATATATAGGACTTTTGTGATTGGTGTAAATGATAAAGCTCTCACCATAAAAGTAGTGACATCAAATCTTTAGCGCAAACACTATCAAAACCAACTTCAAATCATGTGTGAGATAGTTACATTCATGAGGCTTCAACTTATAAGAAACCACCCTACCTTATTACATCAACACACACAAGTCTAGTAATAGATGCATCAGTAAACGCCATAAAATCTTTTTTGACTTTGGATGCACCAAAATAGGAACCTCCGTCAACATCGACTTAAACTACTCAAAACTCCTTCACCTTTCCTCTGTCCACTCAAACTTAACATTCCTTTGCAATAACCTTTTAAAGGAGCAGCTTCCACAAAAACTATGATGATAACACCTTCCACGAAACGATGATAATACCCAGCTAAACCAAGAAAACTACAACTTCAGTAACACTCTTAGGGGCTTCCAATAAACTATCACCCTAATCTTATTCAGATCAACTTGAATACCCTCAACTAAAACAATATGACTAAGAAATGCTACATCGCTCAACCAAAAATTCATTTCAAAAACTTCACATACAACTTCTTCTCTCTTAACACCTGCAAAACATTCCTAAGATGCGAATCATGCTCTTCATCCGAAGTTGAATAAATCAAAATTTCATCAATGAACACCACCACAAAATGATCGAGATATGGATTGAACACATGATTCATCAAATCCATGAAAACATCAAGTGCATTTGTCAACCCAAACGACATCACCAAAAACTCACAATGATAATAACCCATCCTAAAAGTAGTCTTCATCACATCCGACTTACTAACCTTCTATTTATAATACCATCAGCATAAATCAATCTTAAAAAAAACCTTAACATCTCAAAAATGGTCATACAAGTCATGGATCATCAACAAAAGTTATCGATTCTAGAGTGTCAACTTGTTCAACTGATGATAATCTATACACATGCATATCTTACCGTCCTTTTTCTTCACAAAAAATAAAACGGAGTACCTCACTGAGAAATAATCGAATGAATGAACCCACGATCCAAAAACTCATGTACCTACACCTTTAACTCCTTCAACTACTTAGAATCTATACGATAGAGGAATACATGCAGGAACTGAATCGGTATAAGTTTCGATGCAAAACTCTTACTCATGATCCAATGGTAAACCCATAAGCTCTTTATGGAAAACATCGAGAAAATCCGTAATTGCTTTAATATCTTCCACATGTAACTCTCTTACACCTAGATTACAAACATAGGGCAAGAATACCTTACATCTGTGACTCAATATCTTACTTGCATCCAATACCGACAACATATTAGAAAGAAACTTCAGCCTCTCTCTGACAACCAAAGCTCAAATTCATTTGACGTCTTCAAAATCGTGTGAGGAAACTCAAAATCCAAATGCACACGATGCTCACAAAGCTAATTTGTACCTAAGATAACATTGAACCCATGAAACGATAACTCCATCAAATCCGTTGGGAACACCTCACCCTGAATAACCAAAATACACCTCCGGTAATCCATAAGTACAATATCTTCTAACACCCTATTCACTACCAATCGACATCCTTAACACTAACAGTAATACTCAACTGACCCACCAAACTACTAAGGATATGAGAATGCGTAGAACCAAAATCTATCAAAGCGAGCAAAGAAAAATATTTTAGCATAAAGGTACATATGATAACATCTTTTGGGATACGATCGTGAGGCTTACGAATCACATATAATTTGCCAAGACCATCAGTTTCAATTGCACTAGTATGACCTCGACCCCTACCACGAGCCTAAATTATCTGACCACCAATACTTCTACCTCCTCTAACAGGAATAGAAGCAACATCACGACTCTCAACCCTTTTGGATAATCTCACAATTGATGATCCATATCTTCACTTCAGAAATAGTCTCTAGTGAGACGCCAACACTCACCCGTATGCCTTTGTTACAAGTCAAACAGAATAGAGACTGCTACCAACCACCAACTCTAGTAGACACTCTACCAGTTTACCTCAGACGAGAATCGTGACGACTCTGAGAACCAGCATCTCCTAACCATTTCCCCAAAAAATCTTGAGCACCAAGTTATCAAACACCTCCAAAGAACCATTAACAATATCGCATGAATTTCCTTTTCAAACCATCATTGAACCACTTATACCTCTCCAGCTCCATCAGAACTATCTCCCTAGCATATTCACTCAGGCGAAAAACTCTGTCTCTTACTCAGACACTAACATCCATCCTTGAACCAAGTTGAGAAACTTCTTCTTTCCCATCCATATACGTATCTCCCAGAAACTTTCACCTAAATACTCTATAAAATATAGTCGGGTCAACTTATCCTCGGTAACACTCATCTGAATCGTCGTCCACTAACGATGTGCATTAACCTACAACAGTGATGCAATACAACCTAACTCTTACTCATCAGTACAACCCATCTGATCCAAGATCTGCACCACACTCTCAAGCCAATCCTCAGTGACTATTGGCTCGATCCAACGAACACTATAAAACTCTTTGGCACCTTAATAACTCTAAAAGAAGAGTTATCATATATATTCTTTTTACCTAGAATGAGCTTTGACTTAAGCATTATTAGAAGCATAATTAGGAACATTTGTATATATTTATATACATTTTACATCATGAGAGTTGGTTGGGTAACCTTGGTTAAATTTGATAATTAATGTTGAATTCTAGTACAATTATGATATGGCATTACTCTTTGCTATAGGTGATTCTATGATGAGATGCAAGCTTGATTTTCGTGAAGAGCTAACATTAACTACTGATTTCACTGACAATTATTAGAATTTTATGGAATAGGACGGTTGGTTGGGTAACTGTCAATTGGTTGTATTTCACTCAAAACGTGGAGCAATTTTATTGTTTGAAGTTTAATTCCTTTAGCTTATAAATAGAGTAGACTTTCACGCCATCAAAACATCTAATTTTTCATCTTCCAATATTTTGTCCACAACCTTTATTGCCCGATCGACCATGGTTGCCTAAGTCCACTGCCAGGGAGTGTTGCAGCAGTTGCGGAGTATTATCGTGTAGCAGTGATGATTGATAAGATCCTCTTTTATCTTTGTTACTCCATTGAGATAAGGAAACAGTGAGTTAGATTTGGATGTTTACTTAAACGTTGGGATGTTATTTGGTTATGAGCATCATGTTTTTGTGTAATTGCTTTTGTTATGATTCTTGATTTTATTTTACTTTTTTATGTTATGTCAAACTTCATTGGATGGTTTCAGAATTAAAATCATCTTATTGATTACTCTATCTATGATATTTAGAAATAAGTATTTTTGGATATTTCATCAACTTTTGTCCAGTATTGGTATATGTGAGAAATAATTTAGTGTATTGAGACGTATACTGCCAATGTTATGCAATATTACTTTTTAATTATTTAGGTTAATTAAGGTTAATTCATGTTGATTAAACAATGTTAATCATTGTTTAATCCATAAATGTAAAGTTTTCTAAATGAAATAATAGAAGCTACCAATTATCATCTAAATCCATTAAATCCCCAATCTAATGCTTATTAAATTCTGTAACATGACATGTCACTTTATTATACTGAATCTTACCTTTGCTATAATTTTGTTTGTTGGTCATCTTAAAATTTATCTTTCAACAACTCTTTAGTAATTAAATTTTGTTCTCTGTGGGCTCGACACTCAAAACTCTTGAAGTTTCCACTTTATTACTTGGTTTACGACACGTGCACTTGCGTTAAATGTTGTAACAATTTTTTCATAGCATCAAGTTTTTGGTGTCGTTGCTAGAGAGCAATGGTTTTACATTAGAGTTATATTTTTAGTTATTTACATGTTTATTTTCTCGTGTAGGTACATATTTCTTTTCGTATTTTAGAGTGATGGTGTATGTCTCACAGTAACGACGACGAACTACAACCTTTTGATTTAGAAATAGAATGGACATTTCATCATCATCAAAGATGAGCTATCTGGAATAAAGAAACATGAATGTTAGAAATGGTAAAAACACTTTACCACCATTGCAACATGAAGATAACAATGAATTATTGGTTGGAGATAGGGTTAATCAATCGTAATATTACAAAAACGATGTCCGTAATCGATAGATCAAGGAGCATATTGTTCCATCATTGGATGAATTGAATCTTGGTATTGTCTGATCAACCATTTATTCTACCCATTTTGTGCTGAAGCCAATGATGTTCCAAATGTTACAATCAATGGGGAAATATAATGTTTTATTTACTGAAGACTCGAGACACACCTTAGAGCATTAATGAAAGTATGTGACTTGTTTGTGCAGCAAGGAGTACCTATGGAATCATTGAAACTGAAATTGTTTCCTTATTCTCTACGTGACAATGTTAGAGCATGGCTTAACTCACTACCCCAGATGTTATATCATCGTGGAATGAATTAGCAAAAAAATATTTATTGAGGTTTAATCCACCTAATATGAGTGCCAAGCTAAAGAATGATTTAGCATCCTTTAAGTAGTTAGAAGATGAAAACTTGTACAAAGCATGGGAACATTTCAAGGATTTACTGCATAAATGCACAATGCATGGATTTTTGCATTTAATGCAAATGTAAATGTTTTATAATGGTTTGAATATACACATACGTATGGTGGTTGATGCTTTTACCAATGGAGCATTATTGGATAAAACCTACAATGAAGCATACGATATTTTGAAAATCATATCTAACAATGATTATCAATACCCCAACATGAGGAACATGTTTGGCAGTCGTAATGCTGCACAAGTGGATTCTGACGCCTGAAATTCATTTATTTTACAAATAACAACATTACAGATATGGTGAAAAAGTTGTAGAAACCAGGGGTATGTATGAGGTAAAAATCACATCTCTGCTTTCATGTGTTTCTTGTGGAGATGATCACAAATATGACGAATGCCCAAAAAATAATAAATATGTCTATTATGTGAGAAATTACAATAGGAATGACAACTTCAATGCATATGGAAACACATATAATGCCAAATTCCATAATCATAACAATTTATCTTAGATAATCCAAAATGTTGCAAATCCTAATATGGCATTTCAATCAAATATGATGTAACACTACAACCATTAACAGAAGATGCCCCAACATCAGTTACAACATCAAGCATCACCATCACAACAACATCAAAACTATCAAGGGAAACATTCAAACCAAGCTTCGTCTTCAGCATCTTTTGAGACTTGGTTAAAAGAATTTATGTTAAGAACTGAGGTAACTATTCAAAGGAATGAAGCTTTGATCCAAATTCAATCAGTATCACTAAGGGCATTAGAAAATCAAGTGGGATAGCTGGTAAATGCTATGAGTAATCGATAGCAAGGAACACTACCTAGTGATACCGAGATTCTAAATCACAAAGGAAAGCTCATTATAATGATTATTGTAAAGCAATCACTACTAGAAGCGTTCTTCACATTGAGAAGCATGTTGAGGAGCCTAAGAGGAAAGATGATAAAAGACATGGACATCAAGATAATGGAAATGATATGGAAGTAGAACTTGAGCAACCAACTGTTGATATTATAGCAAGAGAGACAAGACAAATTAATAATTCCAGAACTTCAATACCAAGACAACCGACTCCAAGGCCTCCAAACCATTTCCCCAAAGATTTAAGAAAACAAAAGTGGAGTTTTTTCAAATAAGTGAAGGCTTTGAGAATTTGAAACTATTTCACTCACCGAAGGATGTAGTGATATGTGAACAAGTTGATTACCACCTAAACTCAAAAATCTAGGGAGTTTCAATATTCCTTGCATTATTGGTGATTAATTTTAGGAAAAACACTATGTGATTTAGGTGCTAGCATTAATCTAATATCATTGTCAATCTTTAGGAAATTTAGAAGTGGAGAAGCACGACCCACCACTGTGACTTTACAACTTGCTGACAGATCTATTGTACATCATTGTGGTATATTGAAAACATTTAGTTAGAGCGGAAAATTTTATTTTTCCCACTGATTTCATCATAATGGATTACAAAGCTGACAAGAATGACCCAATCATACTTGACCGACCTTTCTTTCCACCGGTCAAGCTTTAATAGATGTTGAAAAGGGAGAACTTACTATGAATTTTAAATTTTGAACACATTACTTTCAATGTTTTGAATAATGTTTCATATGTTTATGACAATGTTGAATGTTATTCTATTGATGTTATTGATGTTTTCGTGCAAGACCAATGTGATGAATGCCACAACATGAATGTTGTTGTGAGCAATGTTGTGACAATAGCGGAATTAACCAAGAATGAAGAAGTCGAGGGGAATTACATACATCACTTTGAGTAATTGGAACTCCCTAATCAGTCTATTCAACCTCCTAAACCATTAGAAGTAACAAGACTTTACATGTTATTAATACAGTAAAGCTTGAAGCATCACAAGATGATAAGTTGATTGTTGTTCTGAAGAAACATAAGAAGGTAATTACTTGGAGTATTGCTGATATTAAAGGCATTAGTCCAGTATTTGCATGCACAAAATACTATTAGAAGATCTAAACAACAGTTCTATTAAGAGAAAGAGAAGGCTAAATCCAATCATGAAGAAGTGGTTAAGAAAGATATCATCAAATGGTTGGATGTTGGAATCATATACCTGATTTCTGATAGAAACTGGGTAAGCCATGTGTAATGCGTTCCAAAGAATGGGGAAATTATTGTAGTCTCCAATGAGAAGAATGAACTTTGTCAACACATAAAATAATCGAATGGCGAATCTGTATATATTATAGAAAGCTCAATAAATCCACAGGGAAAGATCAATTTTTGTTTTCATTCATTGATCAAATGTTGGATCGTCTTACCGGCAAGGCTTTCTATTATTTTTTGGATGAGTATAGTGGATATTGCCAAATAGCTATATCCCTTGAAGATCAAGAGAATACCACTTTTACTTGACCAGCTAGTACTTTTTCTTTTATACGAATGTCATTTGAATTATGCAATGCTCAAACAACATTTCAATGATGTATGATGGCAATATTCTCTAACATAATTGAAGATTACTTGGAAGTTTTCATGGATGATTTTTATGTTTTTGGTCAAGATTTTGATTAATATCTCGCCAATTTGGATGTTATATTGTAGATATGAAGAAACCAATTTAGTTTTAAATTGGGAAAATTGTCATTTTATGGTAACTCTGAGAATAATGATAGGGAGGTGAATTTCTTATCGAGGCATTGAAGTAGACAAAGCTACGATAAAAGTTATTGAGAAGATGCCACCTCACACTAATGTGAAATCGATAAGGAGTTTCCTTGGACATGCTGGATTTTTATCAAAGATTCATCAAGAACTTCACCCAAATTGCTAGACCATTATGTTCGTTGCTGGAGCAAAATAACAAATTTGTTGTTGATGATGAAGTGTTGCAGTCATTTGAAACAATTAAGTTAAAGTTAGTCAATTTCCCTATTATAGTGGCATCGAATTGGAGTATTCTATTTGAGCTAATGTACGATGCTAGTGACCATGTTGTGGGTGTAGTGCTAGGGCAACAGAAAGAAAAAGGCTTCCATGTTATACATTATAGCTAGCAAAAATACTAAATGACGCTCAAGTCAATTATACAAAATTGAGAAGGAATTGGTAGTTGTTGTGTTTGTCTTTGATAAATTTTATCTTACCTTGTTGGAACTAAGATTTTTGTCTACACTAATTATTCGACTTTGAAGCACTTATTTGCAAAAAAAGAATCAAGACAAGATTAATACGATGGGTATTTCTGGTTTAAGAATTTGATATTGAAATCTGAGATAAGAAAAGATATGATAATCAAGTTATTGACCATTTATCTCATTTGGAATCAGGTAGTGAAGATGGAAAAATGCTAGTGATTCATGATGCTTTCCCGGATGAGAGATTATTCTCCATTGAGGTGTTTCCTTGGTACGTGGACTTCGTTAATTATTTAGTGACTGGTTTGTTGCCACCTAACCTAAATTCCCAAGGAAGAAAAAAATTCTTGAGAGATGTTAGAGCCTATCATCGGGATGAGCCTTACCTTTTTAAGCACTGTAATGATCAAATTTTATGAAGATACGTCCATGAATACGATCAGTAAAACATCCTGCATCATTTTCATGATGCACCATATGGTGATCATTTTGGGTGTATATGTGCTACAACAAAAGTTCTTCAATATGCTTACTATTGGCCTTCACTGTTCAAGCATGCCAATGATTTTTTCAAGCGACATGATCAATGCTAAAGAACTAGCAACATTTCTCGCCATATTGAAATGCCAATGTAACATATTTTAGAAATCGAATTGTTTAAAGTCTAGGGGTTGGATTTCATGGGACCATATCCATCATTGTGTGGAAACCTCTTTATCCTAGTTGTTGTTGACTATATCTCAAAATGGGTGGAAGCTGTAGCACTACCTACAATTACTGCTAAAGCAATTTTAAGATTTATCCACAAAAATATTTTTACACGCTATGGAACACTAGAGCGTTCATCAATGTTGAAGGTTCCCATTTTTTTGGTAAGCAGGTGGCTAAGGAATTACAAAGATATAGAGTAAACCATCGAGTTGCTACGTCATACCGTCCTCAAACAAGTGGTCAAGCTAAAGTTTCTAATCGTGAGATAAAGCAAATTCTGGAAAATATTGTAAATCCTCAGGAATGACTAACCATTACTCCTCGATGAAGCACTATGGGCGTATATGAAAGCTTACAAGACCCGTTGGGCATGTCTCCATATCACTTAGTGCATGGAAAAGCTTGTCATTTACCCGTTGAGTTGAAGCATAAATCCATGTGGGCTTTAAAGAAACTAAACTTTGATTTGGATGCAACTGGAAAAAAATGAATGTTAGACCTCAACAAATTAGAAGAGCTTCAAAATGATGCTCATGAGAATACTAGAATTTACAAATATAAAATCAAGAAATGGTATGACAAACATTTTTTTCCACAACAATTTCACGCTGGGTAACGTGTCTTGTTATTCAACTCTCTCTTTAAGCTATTTCGTGGGAAGCTTTCATCTAGATGGTCTGGTCCATTTGAAATCCTTGAGGTTTTTCAAATGGTGTTGTGTTGTTAAAGAACTTGGTGGATGGAAGCCCATTCAAAGTTAATGGGCACTGTTTGAAGCCTTATTGCCAACATCAAACCCCACACATTGCTTCTATTACACTAAGAGAACCTTCTTCCTTTAAATCTTTACTTTTTCTATTTTAAATAAGTCAGCGTTGACATTAGATTAGTTTATATTAAATTTAAATTTGAATTTATTTTTATTTTTCTGTCTAGGGGATGCCTCAATATTAGCTGGAGCATCATGCTTGTACTTCCGTAAATATTGACCAACACTCACCAGTATTTTTTATGACTATGCTATATGCATTGCTAGCTGGGCGATAATTTTTTTAAAGGTAATGGGTAAATGTGAGTTGTTATCCATGATTTACCCCATGATCACCAGTCGTCCACTTCCACCTATCACAATTGTCTAATTGAATTTTATCCTTCCATATTATCTCTTTATAATAAGCCATTTGAATTAAAAGATAAGT